TTGCTGTGCTTTTTAAACCTTTCCTTAGGATAAAATAAAAAGTCAGTGGCGACTCTTGCTCAACCGAAACATTTGCGAAAACAAACGCAAAACCCTAGTCAGTTCTCCCACCGTATCACAACATTCTACAAAGTTTTCGAGCACAAAGAGATATTCAAGTACCAAGGAGTAGAGTCAACAATATTTCTTGGATCAAAGTGGAGGTATACATTTTCACAGTTTTGATTATATAGCGATGATACTTGATAAAACAAGTTAAGGTGTATATCTTGATGTATATCCGTATTTTCTTTCCATGTGTAGTGTCCTCGTCAGCGCAATGGTGTAGATTGCGGTTATTTTATGTTGAGGTTTATGAAAGAAACTATTCTTTTAGACCGATTAGAGATTCCATCCACGGTATGAATTTCTAACTTAGGAATTATTTTCATATTTCTCATAAACTGACTTAGTATTTTAATTAAATCATACTATGTTAAATTTTTATGTAGTACTTTGATGAATTCTAGTGTGCTTCATACTCAAAAGATCAATTGGATGAACTTATGGAGGATTGGTGCCAATTTGTTATGGAGTTGAGAGTTTTATTATAAGGTATAACTTTGAGTTTTGAGAATATAATATATGTCGTTATAGTTGTGTTACAATATTATTGTTTTTGTTGTTGTTATTTGGTAACTTGTATGAATTTTGATTTTTTGATTTTGTTTTCGGTTATATAGGTGCAGCTCGATGTAGAAGATAGAGTTATATATTCATCGTGGATTTTGTTTCATTGTTGTATATACTAATGTTGTTGTTGTTGTGTATATTGTACAAAAAGGAGTGAAGAGATGAATATTGATGTAATTATAATATTGTTTCATTGTTGTATATACTAATGTTGTTGTGTATATTGTGCATAAAGGATTGAAGAGATGAATATTGATGTTGTTATAATATTGTTTCATTGTGGTATATATTAATCTTGTTGTTATGTATATTGTGCAAAAAGGATTTAAGAGATGAATATTGATGTTGTTATAATATTGTTTCATTGTGGTATATATTAATGTTGTTTTTATTTAAAATGTTATAATGAAGCTATAGTTTCTGGTGCAAAAACGGTGAGAATAAATTTGATAGGCAGCATTTTGTTTTAAATGAAAGCGCTGTCTAAAGTGATTGAAAAAAAAAAGTTTTAAAAAATAAGGAAAAGCGCTGCTAAAGGGGGGGTAATAGACATCGCTTTTCATGAAAGCGCTGTCTAAAGTGATTGAAAAAAAAAAAGAGGAAAAGCGCTGCTAAAGGGGGGTAATAGACAGCGCTTTTCATGAAAGCGCTGTCTAAAGTGATTGAAAATTTTTTTTTTTTAAAATGAGGAAAAGCGCTGCTAAAGGGGGGTAATAGACAGCGCTTTTCATGAAAGCGCTGTCTAAAGTGATTTATAAAAAAAATAATTAAATAAAAAAGAGGAAAAGCGCTGCTAAAGGGGGGTAATAGACAGCGCTTTTCATGAAAGCGCTGTCTAAAGTGATTGAAAAAAATTTTTTTTTTAAAAAAGAGTAAAAGCGCTGCTAAAGGGGGGGGGGGGGGGTAATAGACAGCGCTTTTCATGAAAAGCGCTGTCTAAAGTGATTGAAAAAATTTTTTTTAAAAAATGAGGAAAAGCGCTGCTAAAGGGGGGTAATAGACAGCGCTTTTACCAAGCGCTGTCTAAAGTGATTGAAAAAAAAGCACTGTCTATACCTTTAGCAGCGCTTTTAAGCGTTGTTAAAGGCCTAAAAAAGCGTTGTCTAATCCCTTGTTTGGCATAGTGAGTGATAATGGTTGATAGTTCATCTTTCTTCAAATGCTGATGAAGTCTCTTTATATAGGCTTGATAATAACATCGTTGGTGGTACGGAGATGTTGCTTTCCTTTGCCAGTAAAGGTAGAATTTTCATCTTGGGGGACAACATAATACAATACGTAAGCAAGTAGTGGAATATTTTAAACGTATTAACTGTATTATAAACTTAGTGACTAAGTTTCTTAAGACTTTATCTTCTGATGGTTTACCTCTGTTTGAAGTAGTAAGCTTAGAAGATAACTATTGATCTTGTCTTTGTCTTATTTTATTCTTGTTGGATTGTTTCTGATTTGAGGAGTGATAATGATCCAGAAGATTCTTCATTGTTGTATAGTCAAAGTCTTTCAGATAGTTGAATATTGTCTTCAGATATATAAGCAACAACTTATCTGATGAACAATGTCTTCTTTGAGAGTGAAAGCTTTTCTGATCTTGACTTCTTGGTCTTGTCTTAATTTTTTAATAATCAACTTTTCTAAGCTGCATTCCGATGTCTGATTTCTGAAGCAATAACTTATATCAGTACATCTGATTTTAATATTGAATTCCTTCTTTCTGATCTTTAGAAATCTTATCTTTGGATTGAGCTGGAAGAAACAACTTATGTCAGCTACATCTTGTTGTCTGACCATGATCTCTTAATCTTTGGATTGATTCCTTTTCTGGTGAACATTCAACATTCCTTAGAACTGTTGATGTTATGTAGAAATGGTCACAATATTTATTCTGTTGAGTGAAGTGGTCTTTCTAATGATATTTATCTTCTTATGAATATTACTTCTGTTTAGTAGATTGACTTGAGAAGATATCATCCTTTGATCTTGTCTTCTAATGGACTTTGAGATGTTGATTAGATATGAGTCCACAAGATCTTTCTTTCTTTACATCCTTTCTTCTGATGGAATACTTTTGATGTTGAATGAAGGTGTGTATTTCATGAACTATGAGTCTTCAGAATCTTGACTTTGTCTTCAGGAATCTGAGCAGCAACTCTTCTGATGAACAAATCTTGACTTCTGATCTTGGAGTAGAATCTTTCTCCTTATGTGTTCAAAAATCTTGACTTCGTCTTTAGAACCCAAGCATCGACTCTTCTAATGAAGGAATATTGACTTCTGATCTTCTGTGTTGGAAGCTTGTTTCTTGTGCAGTCTTGATTTCTGATCTTGAAGCAACAACTTATCAGGTATTATTTCTTCTTGGAAACTCATTGAGATTTTTTTTCTTGTCGAACGTTCAGCATTCCATAGAACTACTGATGTTACATTAGAAATATAACTCAATGGTTCTTCTTCTGAGTGATAAAGTGATTATGAAGATATCTTGATTAAGACTATCCTGAATTCTAATAATGTATCTGCACACTCAATGAAACTATTAGAACTAAAAAATTTCTTCATAAAATATAATGCTTGTTATCATCAAAACTCAGAGAGTAAACACAAATCCAAATCTTGTTCTTACAGTTTGTTTGGATAATCTAGAAGAAGCAACTGAATGTCCTGGGTCAGAACGTTAACAATATTTTTCTTCAATGTTAAGAAGAACTTCATCTTTTGTTGTCAAAGTTTGAAGTGTCTTCCCTCAAACATGAACGATTTGTCAAAGACAGTATCTACAAAAGTATCAATAATTTCTTTGGTAGTCATGGCAATTTGAAACGTCTTAAAATTGTTGTTTTATGATTTTGAAAATTTTGTCTTTGAAGAAATTATCGAGTCGAGTCGCGGGATAGATCGCTCTTTTTAAGACGTTTCGTGACACTGTCCAAAATTATGCAAAGCATTCGAATTACCGCGTCGCCTCCAGGATAAAACAACTCAGTTCTATATTGTACGATTACTACTTGCATGATATATAATCGATCTAGAAATACACCCTCTAATGGTACTAAGACCATTCAAATATGATATAAATACTAATGTAATATCTAATATAACGACCAACCGTAATAATTTCTCAACCCAAGAGAAATTTGAATAATTCTCCAAAGAGAATTCAAAAGTAGTCATTTGACCACTCAAAAGAATTTCCCAAACAAAAAGAAATTCGAAAAATTCTCTAAAGAGAATCCAAAAATTATACTTGATCATTTATCAACTCAAACGAGGAGAAATTAACATTATTCTCTAAAGAGAATTCATGAAAGTATTCTGAAAATTCAATAAGTAGAAGAAACAGAGAGAAATTGGCGCTTCGACAATTTCAAAGACGCGGAGTTATGAGAGTGAAGAAGGAAAAACTCAACAAAAATAGTTTTTGGTGTGTTTTAGAATGAAATAATAATTTTTTTTATATAATGAAGTGAGTTAATTAAGATATCTCACCTAAACAATGTAAGACTAAAGAATTTTTTCAACTAACACCTAATGTGAGACTTAACTTAATGAATTTTTTCAAATTCACTTTTTTACATTGGAATATTTGACATAATGTTCGAACGTTAAATATCTATAGAAAGAAAATTTGTTTTCACCAATTAATTCTAATATGATATTTGATGGTTAGTTAAATTTAAATTATTATTTTTATGCATTATTTATATTTTCTACTACACCATATTTTTTCTATCGGTATATCTTGTAAATAAAACATGAGTTAATATTTATAAGATTGACATATACTTTAACTAAACTAAACTTGTTTTAAAGTGTTAGTGTTTCACTCCAATCACCTCTAACATAGTATGATTAAATGTTTACTAAGTTGTTCCAAGATTTATGACATGAAAACATCTTTATTAATCACTAACATTGAGGAATATATCATTGTTCTTTCTTTGAAGATATAATAACATTTTTTCCAGCTATTTGATTACCCTTTTTCCTATTAAAACAGTGGAATGAAACTCTCTTTTACAAAAGTGTGGTGAAATCCCAATAAAAAACGGTGATATCCTAAGCATTCTTACATGCCTATTAAAGCCTATAAGGGGTATGTTGTGAAAATCATATCAGATGGCACATTTGACACCTAAAGAAGGCCCCATCAGAAGCTACTTAGTATATTTTCTCTTTTTATTCAAGTAAACACAAATCTTATATACTAAAGTAGTTATGCCAAGTGTAAACTCTAATGACTCTCGAGGCTATAAATATGTAGAAGAACCAATTCACAACACAATGCACTCTTTGCTTATTCAAAACAAGTTCAATTTGAATTTATCATCATGTCACTGTCCAATGGAACTAAACTTCCAAACCCATTTGATCTCAATGACTCTCACATCCTGGATAAACTTTATCTGACCCACCTCCATGATGATGACAAATGTGATAAACAAATCCTTTTCCACATTGTATCCAATGTTTTACTTAGGGTAAATTCACATTCTCACCTTCATTTTTTTTCACTTCAACATTTTGTTCATAATTAATTATTTCTCTTTCTATATTTAAATATATTTATAACATCGCTTTCTCAATGAACTGACATCTAAGTATTCTATATATTTGCCTTAAAAAAAAGTATTCTATATGTTTATTACATATTATAGAAAATGGCATATGTTTACACAACAGCAAGTTCTACTGTGAAACACCACAGACAAGTACTTAAAAATTATCTGAAATTCCAACAATGACTAATACAGTCTTAAGAAATAGAAGTTCACCGTCTTACTTGTATTAATGTTTATTAACAACAACGCATTTATCTTTCCATTGTATTTCAAACCGCATTGATCATGTCACTGCATCATTATGAGGATGGAGAGACTGCAAACTTCTACTTCTTGAGAGCAGCATCAATCATCATTGTTGTTTTGAATAATTTTCTAATACGGGTTCACAATGCACCGCCTATCAAAGTGGACTATCGTAAAACTTGTCCTTCAAAGACAAGGTCCTAAAAAAAGATTTAGAGCACTAACGTATTTATTGGTTTACCTTGTGAATCACAGACAAGGCTGGCAGAAAGCAGAGCTGGTGTAACAGGTTTCCAACCAGAATTCCGCACACTGAAGCTGACTTCTTGTCAGGTTATTTGATGGCATAATGAAATTCATTCCGTACTTTGTTTCTATAGTAATATTAAATTAGATTAAATGCTCCATGCTTTATTCTGCTTCATAAAGGGGAGACTTTGTTTCATGATGTTGCTTGTTCAGTGTCTTTCAAAATACTACATCCGTCCTTATTTACAAACCTCTTTCATAATTTTCACATATAACAGATGATAACAATGCCTCGTAGCGAATGTTATGTACACCAAACAACAATGTGGATTCTTCATTACCTGGAAACTTATTCATGGGATGCAAAAGCACTTGTTGCTCTAGCTGCTTTCACTTTGGAATATGGAAGTATTAGTGATATACATTAGCTTATGCATCTGTCCAGCTGTACATTTCTGATTGGCTTACTGTTAGGCTTCTGCTATTGGTTGAGTTTGTTATAGAGGTAGTTATATATTGGTCCACTTGTAAAACTGAAAAACAACTTATCCTCTACTGTAATTTTTAGAATAAACAAAATTCTGGAGTTTATTGAAACTGCACAGAGTGCAGATTGATTGAATGCAAAGCATTCTTCATCTTCTACATGGTATCATCGTGATCGATCCATCCACATTCCGCTCATCTCTCTTCTCCTACCGGTATCTCTGTAGTATCTCTGTTCTTTGTTCTTCATTCTCATCTTTGCATCATGGCCACTGAAAATCAAGAAATACAGTCTTCATTCACCCCCTTCTCCACTGGCAACAATGGATTTGGACCTCGCCTCTCCATCAAGCTTCAAGAGAACAATTTTCTCCTTTGGAATCAACAGGTTGAAGGAATCATTCTTTCTCACAAACTTCACAAATTCGTCGTGAATCCACAGATTCCCCCAATCTTTGATTCAGAAGAAAATCGCATAGCCAACAAAGTTTCAGCTGTGTATGAATCTTGGATTGTACAAGATCAAGCATTGTTCTCATGGCTGCTCTCAACGATTTCCGAATATGTTCTTCCAAGAGTCCTCTCCTGCAAACACTCATATCAAATTTGGGATCAAATCCACAAACATTTCAATGCAGTCATGAAAGCTAGGGTTCACCAGCTGCGTTCTGAATTGAAAACCACCAAGAAAGGCACTAGGTCAATCTCTGAGTATGTGCTGAGAATTAGAGCTATCGCCGATGCACTGCTAGCTATTGGTGATCCCATTTCAGAGAGAGATCAAATTGATTCCATTTTACAGGGGCTTCCGGAAGAGTACAATCCATTTGTCATGATGACCTATGGCAAAGGTGAGCTATCCTCCATTTATGATGTGGAAGCTCTCCTCTATGTCCAAGAAGCACAACTTGACAAGTATCGTCAAGAACTTGCACTTACCACGGCCACTGCAAATCTTTCCTATACTGAAGATCAGACAAGTTCCAAGACCACCAGAGGTGGCTTTCAGTAGTCAAGGGGACGTGGCTCTGGCTCCAGAGGTCGTGGCCGCACCAGGGCACGCAATGGTTACACTCAAGGAAATCGCCCTACATGCCAACTCTGTGGAAAATATGGCCATGCTGTCATCAATTGCTGGCATAGGTATGATGAAAGTTTTGAACCTATGGTGCCTAAAGCTAATCAGCACCCTACTCAGGCAAAAGATCAACAGAAGAATGAAGCCTCAAATTCTGCACAAGCTTCTGCATTCCTAGCACATCAAGACGATTTCAGCCTTCCAACAAATCTTGAATCACAGGCTTGGTTCGCGTATTCAGGTGCATCCCATCATATCACCTCTAGAAACTATCATAGTAAACACACTAAACCTTATTCTGGAAATAATGAAGTCATTATAGGAAATGGTAAAGGTCTGAAAATTGAATCTGTAGGAATAGCTCATATTAAGCCTAACAATACTTCCAATTATTTGCTAAGTCTGAATGATATGCTTCATGTTCCTAGCATAACTAGAAATCTTCTATCTGTTTCCAAATTTGCCAAAGACAACAAGGTCTTCTTTGAGTTTCACTCTAACAGCTGTTTTGTCAAATCTCAGGCATCTAAGGAAGTTCTCTTAGAAGGCTACCTTGATGCTGGAGGATTATACTACTTTCCCAATCTCACCTTGAAGACTTCTGTGTCACCAACAGCAAATGCAGCTTGTATCTCACCTGATAAGTTTTCAAATACTTTAGATTCAATTTCAAATAAGTTTTCTCTATGGCATCATAGGCTAGGCCATGCTAACCCTGTAGCTGTTAAAACAGTTCTCAACATATGTAATATTCAGTTGAGCAATAAAGATAATGTTGAATTCTGTAATTCATGTTGTATAGGCAAATCTCATAGAATATTTGCTCCTCTAACTTCTACTGTATATACTGCTCCTTTTGAATTAATTCACACTGATTTATGGGGACCATCACCAAACCCCTCTAGCCAAGGCTTTTCTTACTACATAGCATTTGTAGATGTGTACACTAAATATACTTGGGTCTATTTTCTCAAACATAAGTCAGATGCCCTCAACACTTTCAAACACTTTTTTGCCTTTGTCAAAACACAATTTCATACCACTATTAAGGCTCTACAATCTGACTTTGGTGGTGAGTACAGGCCCTTTACTAAACTTCTGGATGATCTTGGCATTGTTCATAGACTAACTTGCCCACATACTTCACATCAGAATGGCACAGTTGAAAGGAAACATAAAAACATAGTAGAAATGGGACTGACTTTACTTGCTCATGCTAATCTGCCTATAGAATATTGGGATCATGCCTTTACAACAACTGTCTATCTGATCAATAGACTCCCCACTCCTACACTTCCTAAAACTGTCTCCCCCTTTCAGACTTTGTTCAACAAAATCCCTGACTACAACACCCTTAGAATATTTGGTTGCTCCTGTTTTCCCCATTTAAGACCCTACAATCAAAATAAACTCCAGTTAAGAAGCTATGAATGTGTATATCTAGGAATTTCTCCACATCATAAGGGATACAAATGCCTTAGCAAAGAAGGAAGGATTTATATTTCCATGGATGTCATTTTCAATGAAAAAGTCTTTCCTTTTCCAACATTCAATGATCAACCTCAGTCTGTCAAAACAGGACCCACCAAGTCTATCCCTTTACTTGTACAAAACAATCATTTTTCTGCTCCCTATGATACTCCTATAACCAATGGTATCAGGACCACTCAGCTTGTCCTGCCCTTGAATAGCACACCCCAGCACTCTCCTCAAAACCAGTCTATAACCATTGAACATAATCATACTTCTTCTCATAATAAAATTTCCTCTTTCACTGAGCAAGAACCCCTGGATAGAAACACTGATCCATCTCAGAGTACCCCTGTTTGTTCTCAACATACACAAGGTACAACAAATATCCAACCTCATCACACTGCTCTAACTAATCAAAATATTGTCCATCAGGAATCTGGTCCATCCCTGACCACTGTTAATCCTGATACTCACTCTTCTCCTGCCTTAGTTACTAACAATCACTCTATGGTTACTAGGAGAAAAACAGGGAACCTTAAACCTAAAGTATTCCTTGCACAATGTGAACCAGTCACCTACAAACAAGCCTTAACTCAACCAGAATGGTTTGAGGCTATGAAACAGGAGTTTGATGCTCTCCTAGCCAAAACACTTGGACACTAACTCATTTACCTCCACACAGAAAACCAATAGGCTGTAGGTGGGTGTTTAAATTGAAAGAAAATTCTGATGGAACCATTAACAAACACAAAGCCAGGTTGGTTGTCAAAGGTTTTAACCAGTTGTATGGTCTTGATTTTCATGAAACCTTCAGTCTTGTTGTCAAGCCAACAACTATAAAAGTTATTCTAACCCTAGCTATCACTCATAAGTGGGAAATACAACAGATTGACATCAACAATGCCTTCTTAAATGGTGCTCTTCAGGAAGAGATATATATGCAACAACCACCTGGGTTTGAGAATGAGAACAAAAATCTGGTATGCAAGTTGAATAGAGCCTTATATGGACTCAAGCAGGCACCCAAATCATGGTATGAGAAACTACACCAGACCCTGTTTCATTTTGGTTTTGTGGCTAGCAAGTGTGATCACTCTTTGTTCATTTACAAGCATCAAGAAATTATTATGTATTCCTTACTCTATGTGGATGACATCTTAGTAACAAGCTCATCTTCTCATCTTGTTCATAAGTTGATAAATCAACTACATCATAAGTTTGCTCTGAAGAAACTTGGCAAGCCTGAATACTTCTTAGGTTTGGAAGTTCATTATCAAACCAATGGATCCCTAATACTGACTCAAACAAAATACATCAGAGATCTTCTTTCTAGGGTTAATATGCACACAGCTAATGGAGTAGGAGCACCAATGCTTAGCCACTGCAAACCCAACAAATATGGCACTGACTTCATGGAAGAACCATTACTATACAGATCTGTTGTAGGAGCCTTGAAATACATTACCCTAACCAGACCTGACATAGCATACTCTGTAAACAAAGTTTGCCAGTTCATGGCTTCTCCTTTACACAGCCACTGGAGTTTGGTTAAGAGGATACTCAGGTACTTGAGTGGCACTGTCAGAATGGGATTAACCTTGTCTCCTGCTACTCCTAATCAACCTCTATCTCTAAGAGCCTACAGTGACTCTGATTGGGCAAATGATCCAGATGATAGAAGGTCAACTTCTGGCACTTGCATCTTCATTGGACTAAATCTCATATCATGGAGCTCAAAGAAACAGTCCCTTGTTGCAAAATCCAGTGCTGAAGCAGAATACAGGGCTTTGGCTCACACCACATCAGAAGTTCTATGGCTGGAATCTCTACTGACTGAACTACAGATTCAGTATTTCTCCCCAACTCTGCTATGTGATAACCTGAGTGTTGTTCTTCTTTCACATAATCCTGTCCTTCATGCTAGAACCAAGCATATTGAATTAGATCTTCACTTTGTAAGAGAGAAAGTCATGGCCAACAAGCTCAAGATCCAACATGTTCCAGCTACTTCTCAGTTAGCAGATATCTTGACCAAGCCTCTTCCTACTACTGTCTTCCAACAACTCAGGGACAAGCTCAAAGTTGTGTTGCTGCCATCACCTTGAACTTGAGGGGAGTATTAGTGATATACATTAGCTTATGCATCTGTCCAGCTGTACATTTCTGATTGGCTTACTGTTAGGCTTCTGCTATTGGTTGAGTTTGTTATAGAGGTAGTTATATATTGGTCCACTTGTAAAACTGAAAAACAACTTATCCTCTACTGTAATTTTTAGAATAAACAAAATTCTGGAGTTTATTGAAACTGCACAGAGTGCAGATTGATTGAATGCAAAGCATTCTTCATCTTCTACAGGAAGCCTTTTGTACCTCACTGATACTTCAATTTCAGATAAACTTGTTAACCCTTTGAAACAGCTGAATCAAATTCAAAACAGAAAGGTCACTGCTCCGGTTACAGATTTGGTGGGTTTGATAATGGAAGTGTTTCTGCATATTCATGAGTGGGCCGCGTGGTCTGGTGTTGGTTATGACACTCTTGAAGTTCCTTCTTTGTCTGATGCATTGGAAGATATCTCTGTTGCTGTTTATTGGATAATTTCCTCTATTGCTGCTGTAGATTTGGTTGTAATGTTTTTTATGAACAATGCTAGCGAAATATGTCCTTTTTGAAAAGGATTTAAAAGAAAAAGTCTGAAGGCAAAAAGATTTACATTGGTTTATATTTTTTACCTTAAAAAAAGATTTGAGATTTGAATCACACCAAAGACTAAGAACGAAAGAATGATAAGACCGAGAAGAAACCTGCTTATCATTTCACATACTTAGTAAAGAGTGTAATTCTCATCAATTGTTATTAAATGTTTTGAGAGTTTGAAAAGAAAAAGAAGTTTTAGTCTTAATGAGATGCAAAAATCAAAGGGAGACTAGTAAAATAGTCCTAAAGTTATCATCCAATGTTGATCCTATAGTTGGGATAGGAGGGAAGTATCTAACTAATATTGTCATGCATGAATAGAAAACCTAAGGTATATTTAGTTCAAACTTAGAGAAGAGTGAACTAAAGATTCTATGGGGAGCATACAAAAAGAGAAGCAAGCAAAGATAGGATATAGATGATAAAACATCATACAAAGATGGCAAAACATCAAAATATAAGGAAGAAATGACGACACATCACAAAGATAACAATACATCATAAAGATGACAATACATCACAAAGATGACAATACATCATAAAGATGGCAATGCATCACATAGATGGCAATACATCACAAAGATGACGATACATCACAAAGATGACAATACATCAAGCAAGAGGGAAAATGATAAAATATCACGCAAAGATGAAAATACATCAAGTAGGACAAAGATGGCAATACATCAAATAAGAGATTATAGGACATCAAGCACATAAAAAAAGTGATAAAACACATAAGAGAAGAGATGGTTAAGCATCACATAAAGATGGTAAAACATCAAGCATACATGCATTAAGATGACAAAATATGAAGTATGAAGTGAGAGAATAAAAACATCACAAAAAGAGGGAGATGACAAAACATCAATCATAAATGATAAAACATCAATAAATGGGATGACTAAAACATCAAGAAATATGGTTGACAAAACATCAAGAAATGGGATGATAAAATATCAAGCATGGATGACAAAACATCATGTAATAAGATGATAAAACATCAAGCATGGATGACAAAACATCATGTAAGAGATGACAAAACATCAAATAATAGATGATAAAACATCAGGTATGGATGACGAAATATCATGTAAGAGATGACAAAACACCATGGAGAGATGGTAAAACATCAAATATGGATGATAAAACATCAAGTAAGAAATTAGATGATAAAACATCAAGTAAGAAATGAGATGATAAAACATTAACAATCACACAAGACACGATGATAAAATACAAAAAAGATGGATATTTCACAAACAAACTTAAAGAAGTGAAGAAGAAGCGTGAAAACAAAGACAAAGGATCAAGAGGCATGGCATAAAAACATATCAAGATATCATCTAAGTTCTGACCCTAACATGTTAAACACCTTAGACTATCCTAAGCATGTCAACAAAGGTTAAGAAGAATGAACTATTACTTAATTAGGCAAGTAGAAGTACAAGTGTGTATTTAGAAGATAAAACTTAAATACATGACAAAACATGCAAATAATTAGACATTAATAGGCTTACACCCAAGTCTAAACATGGTTACCATAAACTATTATTAATGAATTGCATATTAACTAGCATCACCTAATCAAGACAAGCTCACATGATGAAAAGAGATGAAACTCTAACACGTGACAAGACAAAACTTGCATCGGGAAAGAAACAAGTGAATCCTACGGGAACATGCAAAGGGATCGAATTCGTTATCTCAATTCTAATTGAGTGAATTCATCGATCGGAAAAAAAAAGAAGATAAAATCCTAAGGGAGCATGCAAAGGATTGAAGTCGTAACTCTCAATTCTAATTGAGTGACACATTGATCAACAAAATAAAGGAAAGTGATAAAGTCCTAAGGGAACATGCAAAGGATCGAAGTCGTTACTCTCAATTCTAATTGAGTGACACATCGATCAATAAAATAAAATAAACACAAGCATAAACACAAATAGCAAATAAGTGCAGAATGCCTGCTACATGATTTTAAACAGCGACTTCGAGTGCACGCTCTTTATTTCCTACTTCTCATGATATCTAGAAAAGCGGTAAGGAATGCGAGATAAAAGGCATGGGAGAATACCAAACGAATATCAATTTATATACGCTAAGCAGTAGCAAAAGAAACCCGGAATACTTTGCGAGCCGATAACATCAATAGCAAAATAATAAGTGATCTCGTGTGTGGAATATGTCTCAAAATATCAATGCGATAATAAACCACAAATTGGAATGTGCGTCATACACATCCAAGTACCAACCAGTACACCTGCACTAGATAACAATCTAGACAAATGGTACGAAATACAATGTAACATGGAATGTTTATCGAACACATTTGTATAATAACAGAGTGCCTGCACAAAATACAATTCATGCAAGAAATATCACAACAATGCGGAATGTGTATCAAACACATCCCTATAACAAAACAGAGTACTTGCAAAAAGCACAATTTATACAAGCAATATCGCAACTGTGGAATGTGTATCAAACACATTAGTAAAACAAAATAGAGTACCTGCACAAAACACAATTTATGGAAGCAATATGAAATACAATCTCAAAGAAATAAGAATACATCATGCTTATCAGACACAAGTGTGCACCACAAATTTGCGGCATAAGCGTGTTTTTCGATCACCTAACCAAGTGGTAATCATATGATCAAAACTATCTCAAAGTACATTGGATAAGTGAACAAAAGTGTTAGAAATAACAAGGAAATGCTATCGGAAGCAAACAACACTTATCACAATTCAAAACAAAGTTAAATCATGAGAAAATGATAAACAAAAGCACATTGGAAGTGTAAGAAAGAAAATCGGGCAGTCACACAGTTAAAACAAGAATTGAATCGAAAAATGCAACGGAAACGAGTAAGCTTGATCATAATTATTCACAAACAAATAGTAAAGCATGGACATGCATCAAATGAAAGCAAAAACTCAAAATTCAAATGATTTTTGGCTAAAAAGCGTTATTTTCAAAAATTAAGCACGAAAATCACCGTCACGGAATTGAACGAAAATTGCACGGTTGCATCTAAACGTGCTAACAGATTCAAAAAAGTAGGTCTCATGAATTAATTCTAAGTGAAAGTGGTACTTTTGATGTGTTTTTGTGCACGGCACAACAACATCGTATCTCTTAAACCGGATGGAATTTTGGTCCGAAAATGGAAAAACTTGGCCTAAACGCGGTATAAATATCACACCTAAAAGTATTGATCAAGATTCAAAAACAAAATGGTACTTCATGTGCAGATTAGCAAAACCGAACTGCACCTTATTTATGTTAATATCGATCAAAAGTAACTTAAAAATCATAGTTTTAATATTCTCAAGGTAGATATTAACACAAACAATTAAGTCGGAATTCCTAAAGGAAAATGTATCCGCGAAATTGACATAAAAGTACCACTTCCAAACTTGGAAAAAACCAAAAGCTCATATGTTAATATCACACTTTTGATGTATAGCAAGATTTGACATCAACACATAAACTTCTCTTTAATTATCGAAAGTATTGTCATTGACATTAGTTGAGTTTGAAGAATACAGCAACATCAAAATCTCAATAAAAACTCCATTAATTAAATTAAAGAAATAATCATTTTCAAACAATTAAACTCAAATATTTTTTGACTTATTCTTCAATTCAATTTATAGTGAAAATTCAACTCATGAGATTATGTGAACAAAACTTCTAAAACAACATGAATTTCTAAAATCCAACATAACCTCATGAATTCAACCAACTCCAACTCTTTTCATTATTGACAAGTCAAGAATATTCAATCAACACATGAAAGTTGCAAGTCTAGCACAACATTATTCAATATTTTCCTCTCTTTGGAATTTTCACAAACACATAATCTTCATAAAATTTGACACATAATTTCAACAATTAAAGAATAGAGATTATGTCAAATGTATGTGATA